TTCCCCTTTACAATTTGCTGCCAAGACCCAGATCAAAGCATTTCAAGCGCAACAGTCAATCAAATGTTGTTGTTGTTGTTGTTGCAATTTTCCTGCCTGCCTGGCTGCACATAATTTTCGCTGCATTTGTTGTTGCCATCGTCGCGTCGTCCGTCAGCCTAGGCCAATAAATTGCCTGCTCCCGGATCTCTTCGGTTCCCCACCTAGCCTCCTCAGCTGGGCGAGCGGCTAATTTACTCAAATGTCGACGCCTGGCGCTGATTTTTCATTTTGCATATTTGCCTGCTACTTCTTCTCCTTTCTTTCTCCTCTTCTCTTCTCCTCATCTCTTCTTTTGTTGGTTTGTTTTGTTTTTGGCATAAATCGATCATAAATTTAATTTGAAAATTGCCGAGTTTAGGCTCGCTTGGGGCGAGGCAACTCCAAAGCCATTTTGCGTATTTATAACTCAATAAAACTTCAAAAGTGTTCGAAAACATTCGCTCTCAAAGTTTGTTTAATGCCATAAAAATGCAGTTGTTGTTGCTGTTGCTGTTGCTGCTGCTGTTGCTATTGTTGTTGGCACTAAAACTCGGCCATAGCTTTATGGACTCTACGGCTGACAAAGGGAACCGGAAGTTTACTCTATGCGCTCTTGCAGCCGATATTAAGTATTATTTGTACAGCGATCGCAGTAAAGTTAGGGCATTATCTTACGTTTTTGAAGCTTTGATCTTGAAAGTTGAAAGAAGCCAAATATATGACGATATTTACATATAATCAATCCATTTTAAGAGTAGCTTTTACAGAGAGATCATATAGAGGAAGCTGAAAGGCGAGCTTCTCTCTAAGCAATAATTTAAAGTGGAATATAAATACATATATATTTTTTATTGCTTGATACATTTGAAACTTCTCTAATAAGCTGTTGCCCATCTATAGTCCATATTATTATAGTCCACTTGGCCATCGAGTGTTGCATGTAATTTAATACAATAATTAAAGTCTATTAATGTGCATGTTGCGCAATGTAAATTTACTTTAGAGCTGGCGAGTCTCTATTATAGCCTGGTTAATTGCAACGACAGCTGCCAAAACAACAGCAAAACCGCGCAAGACAAACACCAACAACAAAAGCAACCGTAACCGTAACAGCAACAAGAACAACAAGGACAACAATATTATACGCTTCTGTTGTCATCGTCGTCAGGCGATGGCAGTAGAATTTATTGTTATAACGGCGCAATGATAACAGGTCATCAACACAACTGGGCAGGTAAATAAATATGTACAAGTATATATGTATGTATGTGCTATATAAAGAGAGAGTGAGAGAGAGAGAGAGAGAGAGAGAGAGAGAGAGGTAGGGGTGTGGCAAAACGTAAAAATTACAAAGGAGCTCGCAGCACAGCGAGCGAAGCAAACAAATTCATAGATATTCCAGTGCAGCCGTTGCCTGATAGGGGAGTTGGGCAGCAGTCGGGGTGCGATAGGTGCTGCTAGCAGCTAATACTTGCATTTAATTAGGCTTGCAATAATATTTATGTAAATCGGGCCTGGCTCCAGGACGAGCGCAGACAGCAGCTGTCAATATTTATGATTGGTTCGCTTTTGGGCTGCTCTGTCAATGATTTGATTACAACTACACGCACACTATGCGCGCGCGTGTGTGTGTGTGTGTGTGTGTGTATGCCATTGTTGTCCTGCAAACTGTGTCCTGCATCTGCATCTGCTCATGTGTGCGTGTGTGTGTGTCCTTATCGCTAAGCAAACAGTGCAACATTTTGGTGTTGTCGCCAACGCTTTGTTTTTCTTGTCCTCTGCCAGCCTCACTCCGCCCCCGCCATTTGGACCACCCGCGCAATCTGCGCGCTGGCAACGACTGCTGTGGGCATATTTTTCATTTTCGACACAATTTCTTTTATTTTGTTCCCTCTTAGTTTTGTTGTTTTCGCATTTAATTTTGTTGCTTTTGACACCGAATGGACTCAAGCCTCGTCGCGAGGCGCGGCTTTGTCAACGCTACAATCGCAGCAGCCCAAAAAACCAAAATATATATTGTATATACATATGTTTATGTATGTATATCGATTCTACAGAATGCGCTGAATTTGCATAGCCAGCGCGAGTGGAAGTGTAAGGGGGAGAGAAAGAGAGAGAGCAGTTGGCTTCTGATCATGCCTAAACACATATTTGATATTGTATTTGATACACATACGCATACACATACACATAATTGTATGTAACTGCGCTAGAGCCAAACGAGTTTATTATACCCAGAACTCTAATGTTTTCTATGAATCGAAGTTGAAATAGTTGTATCAGAAAAAACTTAGCCGACTCATATATATTTCTGCAGTAAAGCTCTGCCTTAAGATGCTCAGTCTTTCAGCCTTGGCTCTTGGCCAAAAGCAGCTTGATTTCAAGGCTCTATTAAACCAAGGCTATGAAGACTTAAATCTGGGAGCTGCTTATTTCAGACTTCAAAACCAACTGCTGCAGTACAGTTCCATAGCTGAGATCTGATCATTAGTATTAACTTCAAAACTAGAGATTTTCAAGATTTTCCAGCTTTTTGTGTCACAATAGATAATAATATCATAGTATATACTTTAGTAAATTAATTATAAATATTAAACAACATTTTACTAGGCGTTCAGCAGCTAAGAATCTGTTATCTTATAATAAGCAGGGGTATTTTAACAGCTGTTTTACATGATATATATACTTATATTACTCATACCCTACAAATACATGCATAGGTGCATATACTCATATAGTTTTCTTTTTTATCTGTCTCGCAGCCCACATACCACTTGTTTTTTTTTGTAGCACAGTGTGAGCACGCTTGTAGGCCTAAATGCCGAGCCGCTAGCTTTGGCACACTTTTCATTCGCACTTGAGCGCTCATTTGTGTGCCGGCTGTGCCCACCCAGATCGGCGTGGCATGGCATGGCATGGCGCGGCTCAAGACATGTATGCCATTGAAGACAATGGCCCAATGGCCCTTAGCCAAGCAAAGCCAAGTTTGTGCTTCAGCTGAAGCGACACCTGAGCATAGTTTAGCCCACATCAATATCGTTGTCGTCGTCGCAATCGAAGTCCAAGTCGAAGACGAAGACGAAGTCGAAGTCGTGGTCATCGCAATCTCAATGCCGCTGTGGCGCCAGGCGGGTTTCTCAAGTGACGATGGATCGCCGTTCGTTGATAGCCGCATAATGGAGGCGCAGACACTGGAGTAGACCATGACAACAATCTATACAACATCATCAGCGAATATTGACAGACAGCAGCCACACAACACCATTTTTTCTCTGGCTTTTTATTTCAGTTTTTTTGGCATTTAATCAGATTGATTGGGTAACTGGTTCGCTTCGATTCGCTTCGATGCGATTCGGCTAATAAGCGGACCTCGGCCATACATCGATTTTTTCGCACTCATCATTAGCGTTACGCATTTTGGCAGTCGTATTCCACTTTTGTGTTTTACTTTCTACCAATTAACAGCAATTGTTTGGCAATTAGAGGCGTGGCTTAGTTGGCGGGGGGAATTTCTTGAGAGTTATTTTAACTAAAGGTTTACAATTTATGCGCCCATTGTTGGCCAATGGAAATGTTTTAGTGAAAGCTAAGCATTTAGGAAATTTGGAATAATACACGATTTTCTTTGAGCTATGAGAACAGGTCTTACGATCTGATGTTTGTCTACTAAAAGTGGAGCTATGTATATGGGTTTCTATAAAGTGAGGCTACTATAGAATCTATTGTAAGGAACCTCTCTATATACAGCTCATACTATGAACATCGTTATCATAGTAAGTCATAGCAAATGCATATCAAAGGAACTTCGAATACCCTAATATGAACTATAATTTACTTTTATGATATGAAATGCTAGAATAAAGAATATAAGACATTTATAAGTATATCAAGTACTCCGAGACTCGTAATAAAACTAAAGTTCATTGTGAATCTGCATTTCATGTTAAATACGCTCTTAATGAGACATAACAGAAATCCTCTATGGATTATTATCGTCGCATATTGCAATCCGATGCGCATTGGACTTTTAGCCAACATTGGATACGCCAGCTAGACCGTCTGGAGAGTACTGCTGAAGCACGTGCAATATGACCAAGTGTAGTCCATCCGATATTCCATTGTCATATTTCTCAGCCGAGTGACTCATTCATTCAGCTGATCGATGGCTTCCTCTTTCCCGCTGAATGGTCATTCAATATCCATTTAATATACATATATACATATATATGCATATATATGTCTATGTATTGCTTTTATCAGTGGCCAGTCATCGGAATTTGCGTATGCTATCGATTTCATCTGAAAAGTCTGTTTTCTGCACCGCCGCCATGTGGGCGTGCAACTTTGATTCCGGTGTAGATGGAAATAAAACTCGCAATCATTTTTGATATTTTAACATATTTTTTTTTCTATTTTTTACTGTTTGTTGTTTAATACAGGGTTTTGTTCTAGACGCTAATTTGATAATAGGTTTTCGTTTTATAATTATTCATAATTTATTATTGCTTAAATAGGCTAGGCTAGTTAATTGTAGTAATATTACTAAGCGATTCACTATCATAATATGTTGCTGTTGTTGTTGCTTGAAATAGTTTGCTTTCCATTGAATTTGCATTATTCGATTTCATGATCATTTTGGATTTGCATTAGAATTAGTTGCTACTGGGTAAATGAAAATAGATCGCATTGCAAAAACTCATCACAAATTGCATACCAGACATAACTACGCCCTAAAGTGATAACAATTATTAATAGATAGTTAATTGTAGTTATTAATTGTAGAGTTTAATGCTATTCGATTGTATAAAACTAACAACTAAAGACGTTCGACGAGCGTTCGCTAGGCCCACACATCGTATACGCAATTTGCCAACAAATTTGATGTGTGTGTGTGTGTGTGTGTGTGGGCAGCAAACACAAATAAAAAACAATTCGAAAAGAATAGAAAATCGAAAAAAACAATAATAATAATAATAATAAATTCATTGACATTGAGATACTTTCTGCTGCAGTTGCTGCTGTGAGTCGTGCTTGGGAATATATTTACAGGAATATACAAGAGAGCACAGCGGCCACGCCCCACTTAGATAGGATACGCCCCCTTCTTAGACACCGTACTTGATGCCATACTCCTGATAGTGACCCACATGCGGCCGATAGTGGCTGAGGTTGCTCAGCTGGCCCAGATTGCCCAGATTCCCGCTCAGGTGCGACACGTGATGATGATGATGATGATGACTGTTTATCACGGCTGCTGCGGCGGCGGCCGAGGCGGCCGCAACGCTGGCCGAGGCCGGCGGACTGGCCGACTGTATGCTGCCCGTCGGGCTGCCCGTGTCCAGCTGGCAGGATTGATTCTGCTCGAAGATCATGTCGCGGAAGCCCAACGCTGAGCTGGGACTGCTGGTCAGCACCGAGGCGGAGATAGCCGGATTGTTGTTGTTGTGTATGCTGCTGCTGTTGTTGTTGTTGTTGTTGTTGCTGCTGCTGCTGTGATTCGGGTTGCCGTTGCTGGGATGTGTGGGCGTGCCACTCTGGCCAGCCCCATTGGTAATGGGCTCCGAGGGCGGCGTCTCCGGCGTATACCAGCCACCATGCGCCGGTCCATGCGGCGTTGAGATCGTGGTGGGTGAAGCGCCCGACGACTGTATTCCATTGCCGTTGCCCGGCGTCAGGGGATGCGACACGTGGGCCACATGTCGCAGCTGCTGGGCGTGGTGCGCAGCCGCGGCGTGATGGGCATGATGCATCTGACTGCTGGCCACCGTCAGATTGTCATCGTTCAAGTGATACGGATAGGCGCTGTGATGGATGCGCGGATTGTAGACATTCATCAGGGAGTCGACGGTGAAGCCGGCATGCTCCACGCCGCCCGTCAAGTGGTTCATCTGCGCCAGGCTGTCGTGGCAGGAGTTGAGCATCGCTGCGTGCGAGACATCCTTGCCGCTGAGGCAGCCCAGGTCCATGAGCGGCTCCTTCTTGAAGTGGGCCGCATGGGCGGCCATATGCTTGGCCTCCAGTATGCCATTGGTCATCAGCTTCAGGGGCTTCATCTCGGCCAGCTTTTCGTTCATCATGGCCTGACGCTTGATCGCCTCCTCCTTCTCCCGCATCACGTCCTTCTTCTTGAAGCGACGGCGCCGTCGCAGAAACGAGCCATTGTCGAACATGTTGTACGAGTCCGGGTCCAGCGTCCAATACGAGCCCTTGCCCGGCTTCTTATCGTCGCGTGCCACCTTCACGAAGCACTCGTTCAGGCTGAGATTGTGGCGTATGGAGTTCTGCCAGCCCTGCTTGTTGTCCCGATAGTAGGGGAACCGCTCCATGATATACTGATAGATGCCATTGAGCGTCACCTTCTTGTCGGAGGCATTCTGTATGGCCATGGCGATGAGCGCTATATACGAGTACGGCGGCTTCACAATCTCCTTGTTCTGATGCGGTGCGCCCAGCCCGTAGGCGCTGGCCGAGTACGGATACCGCGAGTACTGATCGTACGCATAATGGGCCGCTGCCGCCGCCGAGGCGCTGCTGGCGGCTGCCACCGCCGAGGCGGACGTATAGCCGGCGGCCGTTTGGGCATAGTGGCGGGAGAACGAGTTCTGATCACTGAACAGCGTATGCATCATATATGGATTTGTATGTGTAGTTGTAGTCCACGCTGGATAACTAACTGTATATTAGGTTTTGCGGACTGAGCCGCCACTCCAAATTGTCCGGCACAAGAACTTGAAGCAGCTTTTTTTAGTTTTGCTTCGTTGCTTTACTTTTCTTTTCTTGTTTCTCTTTTGTGTTTGTATTTTGTTTGGCTCACTTCACAGGTTTTTTTTATTTTATTTTATTTATTTTTTGCTGCGGCTGCTGCTGCGGCGCGCTTATTATTTGTTCTAATAATATTTGCTTAAACAAGTTGTAGCAGTGCCAATGCGCGTGTGTATGTGTGTGTCTGTATCTGTATCTGTATCTGTCTCAAGCAATCGCATCGGACGTGCAGGCACAACGCAGCGGCGAAGAACCGTTCGGGATAGTAACACGTCTGATACTGAATCTGTGTAACTGAAATAACATATAGCTCGAGTCAATGCGACGCGGCGAATCTCGGCAGTGGCAGCGACTGCGGCAGCGGCAGCGGCAGTGGCAGCGGCAGCGACTGCGACTGAGACAGTAACGCCAACGCTCACAGTGCTCGCTCGTGTATGGGTGCACGCGTGTGTGTGTGTGTGTGTGTGTGTGTGTATCCCTCGGTGAGCGTAGCTACGTTTGTATTGGTGACCAACCACCGACGGCAGCACGTTCTATTCGCAGCAGCAGTCACTAAGTGAAAACCTACAGCTATGTGTGTGCACAAACACTCACACACACACACGCACACGCACTGAGATACTCTCTTTCGCACACACACACACACACACATGTATACTCACGAGGTGGCCGCCATTCATGATTCTGTACGTACGCCCCTGTAAAGTGGCACTTTTTCTGTATAGCTTGGCTCTCGGATTCTCGGGTGTGGGAAGTGGACCTCGAAGTGGAACTGGAAATAGTTGCTTCACCAGTCACTATACCATATGCCAGAGCCTCAACCTGAGCCTGAGCCTCAGCCTGAAAGCCTGCCTCGTTGCCTCTATTTATGTTGTTCAAACTAATGCTTAAAATGCGGCCTAGCCGCATGCAGCGCTCTCGCTCGCACCTCCTCCGACGACTGGCGTAGGCAAGAAAGAAAGAGCAATATTTGTCGTAGCACCTGGTTGCGGGGCCCCAAAAAAAAGTTGTGGGTGGCTTTTGGCTGCTCCAACGGCGACTTTTATGTGGTTTTGGTTTACGCATTAATTTCTTTACATTTTCCCATTTTTATAGTCAAGATTTGGTTCATATTCGCATCATAATTTTCAATTTAATCATGAAGTATCCAGACAAAAGCAAGCAAAATAAGTGTGTAAACAGTTGTAAATGATATGATGCTAATTAAAAGTATCCCTGCCTGTATGCCAGACCTCCTATATGTAGTTAGGCATACAGCGGCAGCCCTTTGGTTGCATTTCCCCTGCCGTGCTGCGGTGCTCATATTTTCTCACGTTTTTTTTTATCACATATGTATAGACGCCTGTTCTGTTGTTGTTTTTGAGCCAACAGGCACTTTTTTGCCGAGCGCATTGAAACAATTTTTTTATTTGGTTTTTGCTTATTGAAACAATATTTTTTCGTACAACAATATTTATTGACTTTGTCAGCTTTAAAGTAAATTTTATATGTTTATTTGGGCAAGTGTGTGTGGGAGAGTGTGTGCGTATGTGTGTAAGTGTGTGAGTGTGTGTTGAGTTACAGACTGATTCAAACCGGGTTCTCCCACGGTTCTGTTTGCTTATTTTCAGCTCTCTGTGTGTGTGTGTGTGTGCTTCTGTATGTATGTATGTATATTGTGATAATTTAAAAGTATAATAAATTTCATTTGCATTCAATAAATTGGCAGCTCATATAAAAAAGCCCATGAACAAACAGAGCTACCTACATACACACACACACACACACACATATTATCAGACTGCTCTCTGCACTCTCTCAAACAGACTGCGTTTCCTTCCACGCTGCCCTATCTCTGTCGGTGCGTATTTCGATAACCTGGATAATTGATACAAGAATAATATTTGGCTCTATTAGCGCAATCGCATTATTTTGACAAATATTTTTATTGTTTTAACATAATTTTTCGTATGCGAGCCGCATGCTGGAAGACGACATGAAGGACCTCAGCTGGACCGCAGCTCCGCAGCATCTCATGTGGAGCTCATGTGCTGCCCCAGAAGGCCGTGTCCATGTCCGGTCAATTCCCGTGAAGAGTCCTTTGGCTGCATTTGAAATTCGAATGAGGCTGCAGCGCTACAGACATTGCCATAGCTTCGCCATCGCCTTTCATTGCTGCCACTCCTCTATCGCTACTCTCTCCTCTCTCTCTCTCTCTCTCTCTCCCTCCCGTTGCCCCCTTCCACTGCGCCATTTGCGCATTTCATTTTCTTGCTTTTTAACGTCGCAGACATCGCTGCTGATTTTACAAATTTTCGTCTTTTGGCATTGGAGCCCTGATTGTCAATGTGTGTGTGTGTGTGTGTGTGTGTGTGTGTGTGTGTGTATGTGTGTGTGACTCGGTCTGTCTCTGCATTTTGCACAGTTCATGTTATTTTTTGCGCAGTTGCCATGCCCGTCTGTCCCAATCTGGCACCCAGTCTCCATCTCCATCTCCAGCTCCATCTCAATTCCAGTTCCAGTCCCTGACTCATGTCGCACTTGTCTCGTTTGCTCCTGCTCCATTTTAGCTGTCATTTGACCTATGCAAATATTGTTTTAATCTCTCTCGCTCCAACAAATTTCTACCAATTGCAGTGAAAGTTTAATCAGTCTTTAAGTATCTAGTAGCAGAGGTAACGTTTCTGCAAGCTTATATGATTAAATGACAGGTAAAAGTGATTATAAATTAATGAGGGGCTCCTATATGCAGTGAGTCTTATGAGAGGGGAAGAGTAAGAGAGAAAGAGATAGTGAGTGTTGGGATCCTTATTGAAGTTACATAGAATACATACCACATTTTACTATCTCTACTACATATCATATATGTACTTAATCTGCTGTCCTCCTCTAACCATCTGAATTTAAACAGAGTTTGATGAACTTCATCCATTTATAAATAGGAATTACGCAATGCCGACGCTCGTCACGGTATTAGCATATGAAACATATTAATTTGTCAAACATTTTCAACGAAAACAATGAGGATTGTTCTGCTGGGGAGCAGCTGACTGAGAGATACTCTGTAGAATAATAAGAACTTATTTATGATGAAATCCTTGTAATAATAATAATGCCAAAAACTATAAAATTCTCCTAATCAACATGTTGTTCTTTTTAAGATATCCTTTAGATGTACATATAGCTCTCATATCACTATTTATATTTAACTTGATCAAGAATGAAATCTTAGATATTTTCATATATTTTTGCACACAGATCGTACCGTTCATCCATTCCAAAGTTCAGTGAGTTCAGTGTAAGTATCTGAAAAATAGAATCTCTTTTGCACAATCGCAATTAAGTTGGGGCCTCAGTCGCCAAAAATAGGGAAAAATCAGCTCGCCATTTTGCACGCTCAATTTGAGGCAGTCAGTTGAGAACGTTGACATCGGCGACGAGCAGGCGACGCGTCGCCTCAGATGTCCACTTAGTGCAGCAGCAGAGCGGGGGGCGGGGGCAGGGGCAGAGACGGGAGTTCGGTCAGACTAATAGCTGGGAGAGGAGAGGACAATTTGCAACACATGGCGAGCAAAGTGAGGGGCGTTCAGACAGTTGGCGAGACGCACAAAGGGAGTGCCATATGGCAATTCATTGCCTATTAAATTTAGCAATTGTTGGCCTTTTTATATTTTTGGGCAGATTTTAGTATTTTTACTAGAAGTAATCTAAGAACAATATTTATTTTAAAGCGTTGAGTGCACGGAGTGCCCTAATCAGACAGTTAACGGCACTTGAACGCACACACACACATACAGGAAAACAGGATTTAAGCTGCAACAATAATAAATTTCCTAGCAAAAAAGAAGGAATTGAAAAATATCTTTCGGTTGAAAACGCGCACTCCTAAAAATGCTGATAAGGCGAAATATGCGCACGCACACATGAGCAACTCGTACACCAACACACATACACACACACACGCATACACAGGCTGACGCTGCTCTGCTCACTGCTCACTGCTCACTGCTCTCTCATGAATATGCATGCGGCGACGCCGCGTCGCTGCTCGCTCAGCTGGGCCAATAAAGCGTAGACACACGCACGCACACACATACACACGAGCCAGCGCGCACACACACAAGCGCTGCCACAGACGAATGCGCAGCCAATGGAAGGCGTGGCCTGCACTGCACACATAGCCAAGCAGCAAAGAGTGAGAGAGACGAAGAGCGCAGCAATGGCGCATTCATTGCACTGCTTGCACACTGCAGTGGCTCGCTCGTGGTTGCTTTTGCTCGTTGGATAGCAACCTTTTTCGGGTGTATGCGGGTTGCTGGGCGTTGTTGAGGGTGTTGGGTGGTTGGATGGCTAGATGGCTAGGCTGGGTAAGTGGGCGACTGGGTGGTTGGTTCGTTCAATATTGGCCACTCATTAAAATTTATGATTTGTATATGGTTCGAGCTCTCATTATGCATACGTAGCTCGTTCTTTTGCATAGCCAATTTAGCAGATTAGTTGTAGATACAAAATTTTGGTTTTGTTATTCCAAGAAATTTGATGTGAGCATGGGATGTGGGAGTAGGGATGTGGGATGTGGATTGAAGGGGTTGCATGCAGCTGGGAAATTTCCGCTATTAGTTTAATCATAATAATCATAATCGCAATCATAATCATGGCGAAAATCTTCCGGTTTTAGGCCTAAAGCAGCGGAAATTCATGGCAAGACGACGAACGGCGCTAAGTCTTAAGCTACCTGAACACCAATCCTTGTGGTCAGCCAAAACACCAATCACCGGATGCTAATCATCATAATGCTTAAGCGCGCTCGATCAGCAGGGGAAAACTTTTTGCTGGCTGCGGGGTTGGCATGTTTAGACTTTAATGCGCGCCGCGGGAATTCTTAATGAAACCAGCAGAAATTCGATTGGGTATTTCCCCGGTCCGTGGCTTAGCTGGAGAGTTTACCTGGCCTTTGACGTGCGGAACTCGTGCTACCGTTTCATATGGTCGGTTTTCCCCCCCACCAGCGATAATGATGATGATGATGATGATGAGGAAGCTGTTGGTGCCTGGTCGCATTGCCTGGTTCGCTTTGCTTTGCTTTGCTTATGCCGCGCGTGTCCTGCGGTTTTGTGGCTTATTTGCGGTTTTACAGTTTTTATTGCCCAGCAGTAGTCGGCCGCTGGCTGGGTGTGTGGGTGTGGCCAGCTCCTGGACCCGGCCACGCTCCTGCTGCGGGCCAAAACGGGAGCGCTCTGAGGTGTGTACTTTTTGCTTAAGTAATGAGCTCTTGCCTCAGTTCTATGCGCTTTTCCACGAAAATTCGTAACTGAAGTGCTCAGAGAATTGAGGAATGGGACATCTTCAACTGGCTTGCTAATTAAATACTTGTATTAATAAATGGAAATGGAAATTACATCGAATTGGATAAGTTAATTCATGAAATGAAAAGAAAATGTTGTTGAAATAACAACAGTTTTTTTTTAAGAATAATTAGAATTTTAATGAAAATTATTAGATACCTAAGAAGGCTCCATAAAGTGAAATGAAGAATATAATAATATAATTAAGAGATCGATAGGGATTTCGATTCAGTTTACTGAAAACTGAAATTTGTTCTCTTTCTGGCAATCTTCAAGTTGTCTACAATTTTCCAATTCCACTTTATAAACAATTTTATTAATATTTTCTCACTTTCCCTTGAACATCTCCATTCACAGCATTTGTCTGTTGCATGAAAGCTGAAAGACTATTTGAATATTCAACTTTACTGAGGCGAGCGGCACAGTTGAATGAATTCCCTGGCATATATTAAGTTTTATATTCATTCGCAGAGTCGCAGCCATTCACAAGCCATTGAAGAAATGTGTTATACCTGCCCGAGCATAACTCAAACACTTTGCATTGCAGCGCTTAATTCATTCATAAAACAGAGTCTCCAATGCCGTCTACGGAGCTATTCCATTCAAGACTCTAAACTTGTATTGTTGTTGGTGTTGCTGCTGCTGTTGTTGTTGCTGCGCTGGTCTAATGTTTATTTTATAAATATTCCATGCCATGTTATTCGAACAAGACTTTTGTTTATTTATATGGGGAAATACGCGCGACATACTCGAGACTTTGTGTGTAAACGATTCGAATGTAAAATTGGCAATAGAATTCGCTATATAAAGGATCCATCTATCTATTGTTGTACACTATAAATATTTCCTTTCACAGGCAGACAGAAACAGGGAGAGAGAGAGAGAGAGAGAGATGGGGAGACAGATAGTTTGGAACCTGGCAATTTGCTATGCGTGCCTATGAAAACATTCGCCAGTTGAAAATCCTTGCGAAAAACGTTTTTAATTTCGCATAAATTTAAAATAAATAAAAACTACGTTTTAAAAAAAATGTTTATTTAAACGCAAAGAAAAACGTAGGATTCTCCTTTATTTTTTGGCAAAAATTAAAAATGTTCAAATCATTTTATTTATTTATTTATGTAGGCTGGTGCTGCTGCTGTTGCTGCTGTGGCTGCATCTTCGATTTGGTTTTCGGTTTTTCACAGTCTGCCCGAGCAGCGCTGACCGTTGTCCTGGCACTCGGACTGGTCCTGGGCCTGAGCCTGGGTTCGATTGTGGTTCTGTTCGTGTGTTTATTTGACGCACAAATCCTCTTACGACGGCTCGGCCTCAGCTCTCAGCTCTCAGCTCACAGTTCGCAGCTCTCAGTTCGATTCGAAACGGAACGAAAAAGGACAATTGCATGTTTTGATTGCCGCCTGCAATTGTCCTGGCACTGCGAATTTCGCTGCCATCGCTGCCGTCGCTGGACAACGCAGCGCTGGCTGCAGCACTTGTGACAATATTTTCATAATTTTTGCATCTTTTTTCTCTCTCTCTCTCTCTTTTTTTTTTTTTGTTGCAGCCTTTTGCCGTTGTCATCGGCGCATCGCCAACGGTAGGTGCGTGTGTAAACATTAACTTTTCAAGAAGATTTAATCCCGATTATCCTTTGACTGTAAAATTTTTCACTCAAAAGTTACCTCGACTGCCGTTTCACTGTTTGTCTTTTGGTTTTACTAAGATTGAGTCTCCTTTGACCACATCCTAGTCCTCATCCTCGTCCTCATCCTCATCGTCCGTCATCGTTTCAGCTTCATCCCCGTCTTCGTCTCTGGCGATAATTATCAATGGCGACGACTTCTTGATGCGATTTCTGCTGCCTTTAACTTTTGGCCCGCACAATGGTCAGTTCAAAGGCTCAGTTTGGGTTGCCTTGGCCTTTGCATTGCGTTCCATTTGACTCTGCATGAGATTTTAATTTGCCCATAAAGGTGAGACAATTAACTGAATAATTGGATTGCTAATCTCTAGGACAATGCGGTGGGCATGTGCCTGGAATTAGATTTAAATACTGAGCGAATATTATTATCCTTTGAGCTGGTTAGTTCGCTTCATCTTGAGTGGGTGTGTAGCAATTCAACACCGGCCAATATAATTAAATTTATTTTAAATACTGTAAATTGAAAATTGTACATCAGGCAAACAAGTAAATAATAATAGGTGCTATATATATATGTTAAAAATCGGATATATATAAAAGAGAATACTAATAGCAAACCTTTGACACATCATAATAGCTTGAACTCAAGGTTTAAACTATTTTATCAGTATTTCTTGTACATCAATTTTTGCTATATATATTTTGGTTTGTCTTGTCTCTGAATATAGTACGCAGTATTTTTCGTTGAATGGGCGCCAAAATCTTATTTTAAAAGAAATTGTTGAAAACAAATTGTTGCCAGACTGTTGGAAAATGAACATTTAAAAGTAAGATTTAAAAGCCACTTCGAGCAGCGCTAACTAAGCAGTGCACAGCATGACGAGCACTGCTTTACCGTACCACAGCCAACTTCACAGTACGCAATTATGCTGCTTACATGAAGTTGGCTGTGCGCAAATTTACTAAATTCCCTTGAACATTGCGCGCAATTTAAAAATTAAAAAAAAAGATATATTTTAGATATTTATATACGTCCAACTTTTTTGGTTTTTATAGTTTTATATTATATATTATGTTCATTTTATATTATGTTCATTTTAATTATTATTAAAATATATCCAAATAAATAAAAAGTAGTTTTATATATTTAATATCATGTGTTTTTATTTTATTTTATGATAAGAAACTTATAAGCAGAGAATAGTAGCAAAGAAATATAGAAACTGAATATTTAAGAGTACAACTGATTATAGGTCATCTGCCAGTCGAACAAATTTGTAGAAAATTTGAACAGATTGATCACAAACAATGCTTGACTATTTGCTTTATAAATACATGCTAATTATATAATATACTTTATTTGATAATAATTAATTCGCTTACGCTTTAAGCAACTAACTTTGTCTGCAACTACTTAGGGCCTAACACTTATTAATTGATTATCCTTTGAGGTAATAATGCAAAAGAACTCATAGATGTAGAAAATTATATGGCTAATCTGATTTGGCTAAGCTAATTTGAATATTTGATTGTCTCATAGTAGCCGCCATTCACCGCTGTCGGAGGCGGAGTCATGGGCAGGTAAACCGGTTTGAAATCGATTGGCGAACGATCGGCATGGTTGCCCGATTGAGATGGCGGCGGCGTCATGCTGCCATGATGCGGGTGTTGAGAATGATGCGAATGATGATGATGATGCGATTGCGACTGCGACGTCTGTATGGAGGACAATGCCGGCAGCTGCTGCAGCGACATGGAGCGCAGACCTGCGAAATAGCCCAAGCAGAGGAAACAAACAAGACACGATTAAAAAGCGCATTTTATGATCCGGCGCTAAAATTCACACAGTGCCGAGACGCCGATGCTGCCGCGGTCGATGCCGACGCCGATGTCGACAGCGGCAGCAATAAAACTCGTACCATGTGTTGCTATGCGGTGGTAATTCGAGATCAAAATGCCCCGCACACACACACGCACACCCTGTGAACTCAGTGAGCGATTAAACGACTCTGATTGACAGGAACACCCAGGCAGAGAGCGGGACGCACTGGCTCAGTGGGGCACTTACCGTTATCCAAGCCGCTGCCACTTGTTGTATAGGAGTAGCCGGCAGCCACGAGACTGGCGGCTGGCGCATAATCACTTTGAAGCGCCGCACCGGGCGGGCTGGAGGGGCCCACCGTCGAGGACATGCCCAGAGCCGAGTGTGCCAACGGAGGAGTGGGGGAGCCATTCAGATTGTTGCCCACGGCCGTGAGGCAGGTGATGTTCGAGTACTGCGGCAGCGTGCCAACGCCAACAGATGGCGCTCCACTGTGAGCCGCATGCACGTTCCAGGCATCGCTGAAGCCCTGCGCAGCCGAGGGACCAGCAGCCGCTGCGCTGTAATCGTAGCTGGCATAGGCGGGCGTTGCATAGAAGTTGGCGTTCTCCTGCGGAAGTGGAGCAAGTTAGGACATGGTTTTCTTTCATATGCATCTCAGAAACTTACCATGCCCGCATCGGCATAGCTGCCACTGTAGAAGCTGTTCGCATTAACCGTATACGTCTTGACCTTGATCTTGGAGCGATAGCCGCGTGGACGACGTCGCAGACTGCCCTCGTCCTCGAACAAGTGCGCCGAATTCTCATCGATGGTCCAGTAGTTGCCCTTGCCGGGCTTGCCGACGCCCATGCCCTTGGGCAGCTTCTTGAAGCACTCGTTCAGGCTGAGATTGTGACGCACCGAGTTCTTCCAGCCCACGTAGGGTCCGCGAAAGAATTCATAACTGCAAGCAAAAACAGAGACAGCCAGAGAATCAGATTCAGTTTATTTATATAAGCAATTGGTTTCAGCTGCACATCCAATATAACTCCCCACTCGCAGCACCTCTCTCTCTCTCTCTCCCTCTATATCTATCTCTCTTTATTCTAATGAGCTTTGAGTGTCCGTCACAAAAGTCAATTAAAAACTTTTCGGGCTCTCAGACATGGGCAACAACAAACAATCGTTGTCAGCGCTAAATCCTCTCACGCATTTTGCATTCAAGCGTTGCCATGGCCCATTCCGTTCCGCCTTTGTCTGGTTCCCAGCCGTGATCGTCGCCAATACCCAAACATTCATATACGTATAAAGTGCCATGCTCTGAGAAATATGAGCAATCAAAAGGATGCGCCTGACAGAGAGCTCTAGCATGGCCATTGAGCTCGGGCCTTGGCGCTGGCTTGGGGTAACTGGAACTGATCATATTTTTGTTGACTAAATAATATCGGAGGAGAGTAAATAAACGCAAGCGACACATGAAAATCGAAACACTTTTAGGTGCCTCGCCCCGTTCCCAGCGACTCTCATGTTGGCTATATCTGGGATCGGTGTCCGGTACCCAATGGCTGGGTGTCGATGTCGGTAATGGGCCCCAGCTGGTCACTTGAGCTTCTGTTGCTGGCTGCGGCGCTTGGGAATGCAATGGCCGACAAGAGCCAAAAGCTGAGCCATACTCTAGGGCTTTTAGCCAGATTGTTTAGACTTGAAGACTTTTACTTTTCATAAAGTAAAATATAAATATCAAATGATCAATAGCCGCGATAAGCTGAAGTCGAAGATTATCTTACTGGGAAATTGTCTAGATGTCAGAGTGGATTCTTTTCGCTTATGACTTTTTAACTAATGGCTAATAGGATATATGTAGGGGATTACTTTAGACTACTGTATGATATCGTCTTATATTTTATATTGTTTTGAAAAACTTGAACCATTTCTACAACTTGAACAACTTCTGACATTGGAGCTGCCTGGCGGGGTTCAGACGCAAAAGGCCTACGACATAAAAAGGCTTTCAAGCTCTTAAGCTTCGCACATGCTGGACGACATTCAATACTGCGCATTATAGCCTCAATCTCAAGTGGTTATTATTATATAACAACGGGACTCGATCGACCGAGCTCAGTTTCCAATGTATGTGTGTATATATACATAAATATATACTGTACTTGAGATGTGGTACCCACCTCTTTTGCAGATATGCGTAGATCTCGCTGAGCGTCAGTTTGCCCGTGGGCGACTCCTTGATGGCATGCCCGATCATGTTGATGTAGCTTAGGGCTGGTTTCTCCGGGCGACGAGTGCCGGATTTCTTGGTGGTGTCCGGCGTGCTGCTGTCTTGAGCACTGGAGCCGCTCACCTTCGACTGCTGCGCATTGGCACTGTCGTGAGCTGCGCTCGAGGCGGCCGTCTCGGAGCCGTTGAGTGACTTGGCAGGCGAGGAGCTGGCACTCGAGTAGTTCAGCACAGACATGCCATGTCCGTGGGTATTCGCAATGACCTGGGTGGGCGAGGCGGAGTGGCGTGGCATGTAGCCGCCGGGAGAGTGTTGTTGCTGTTGCTGTTGTTGTTGTTGCTGCTGTTGCTGTTGCTGCTGTTGCTGCTGTTGTTGCTGCTGCTGTTGCTGCTGCTGCTGCTGCTCCGATTCGTGCAGAGCCAGCTGATGGTAGTCATTGGCGCTGACTATGGTGTTGTTGGTGCAGTACTTGATGGTGGAGGCATATTGGTGGTTAATGTGCTGGAGCTGCAGCGGCTTCACCACCGACGAGCTGATGCACATGTCCTGATCGGTGGGCGTCTTGGAGCTGGAGTTGGGCGAGACGGAGCCCACGGAATGGGCTGGCATCAGCACGCCATACGGCGGAATCGGACTCGACGATGCCGGCGGCGTGCCCATGCTGTGCAGTGCACTCAGCCCATAGTGCTGTGCATTGGGCGTGGCATTGCCCGTGGCATCCAGCGTGGGCGCATAGTACTTGCGCTCCATATAGCTAATGTTTGGCTTCTCGTCGACCAGCTCTGTGGGTGAATCGCCGCCCATCACTTGGAAGTTGCCAGCGGGCAGCGCGTTTCCAGCGCGATACAGGTGCGAGGGCGTGTGATGGGTAAAGGTGTGCGCATGCAGATGCTGGGCACCGCTGCCCAGCGCATGATGCGTGTGATGCGGATGATAGTGCGAGCCACCCACAAAGCCACCCAGTGGGTCAGCAATCATTGTGCGGCTGCTCAGCTCAGATGCCACTTCCTCGCTCTTGATCATTTTACGCACTTTCTCTACTTGCCAAATGGGACGCAATCAAAGTCTTTGCTTTTTAACCGAGTCTTTTCTTTGGTTCACAGTTGCACAGTTTTCTCTATTTATTATTTTTGATTACTATTAGTCTTTCAGTTTGATCCGTTGCCTTTGGTGATACAACCGCGCGGCTTCGCTATTCTCGACTAACTGCAAGCTGTTGGCGATCTCGACGTTCTCGTCGCTCTGAATAGTGCTCGGGCCTCGACGGACGACGCTCCACTTGAACGGAGCACACATATTCTTTTTTTAGTTCGCCTACGCCTTACGCAAATGCGCTCACACTCTCCCGCTCTCGCTCGCACTCTTGCTCTCTCGCTGCTGCCTGCGCATCGCTCACTCTCGCATTTCCAATTTGACTTGCAGCTAATTGGCCTGCCATTTGGTTCGCTGCCTCTCCCTCTCCCTCTGTCTCTCTCTCTCTCTCTGCGGATCTGTTATGCGTATTGGTAGCACTGCATGTGACATATCTGTGGTTAGTGCCATTGGAGCCTGAGCTGCGCATTGGCATGACAAACATCCAGGAGCAGACAGCGTGCGGCTGGGTCTTTGACTCAGAATTGCAGCAATACGAGCGAGCTGGCCAAACGATCCAATCGCATAATGTTTCTTTTCTCAATGGCATTATATGTGTATAAGGAAATACATAATATATTGTCCGACCAGCAGTTAGTCTAGAGTTTGAGTAGGGTTTTGGCTTTGAGCATTAGAAACATCATCTATACAGTGAAAGAGAGAGAGGGAGAGAGAAAGAGGGAAGTAGTTTATAGTTGCTTGTTAGTTTATTTCTTATATAGTTGTATAGGTAATCTATTATAGTTGGTTTAAGGCAAGTCTGTCAACTCTTTGTTGCTTAAAGTTTGCGGCCTTCAAGCTTAGAAACCTCGGATAAAACATCAAAAGTGAAGTAAAGACTTAATTACAAATTGCGTTCAGCAGTCTTCTCACTCTCTCTCTCTCTCTCTCTCTCTCTCTCTCTCTCTCTCTCTCTTTCTATTGATGTTGGACTTGAATGTCCATTATTATGTTTAGGTCCCATTGGATAACTTAATAATCAATTTTTTTCAGAGAAGTCTTTTCTTTCTATTTCCCTCTCAAGTGGCCTTAAAGTGATTATCGTTCGATAGTTGAGCTTATCATTTATCATTTATGGGGCATTTAAAACTTGATAGGCATATTGATTAATTCTAATTCAATCAAATTAAAAATTTGCATACCCATTATAGAACTTCTGCAATATCAAAACAAAAATTTCTTTATATACCTAGAGAATCCTATGCTATACAGTGTTTAATAATGCCTAGAATGAGTCACGTCTTCAGATAGTCGTAGTTATTGTGCCCACGTCGAGCGTGTCGGTCTCCTGTTTCTGGCACAGTCAACAGTTAATAAATAGTTGGGAAACCCAGATCTCGAAACCCCAATTAGTGCAAATGAATTAACATTTGGCACTCATCGAAAGGAAATCGATGGCCGATGCTCTGGCGCGGCATCCAAACGAGCTGTTAATTGATTTAGTCGTTCTCTGCATGGCTCGACTCCGGGTACGGGTACGGGTCCGGGCGTGGGTTTCTGCCACCGCTGCTGCCGCTGCTGATGTTCCCTGTTCATTGTGTCTGTTCCCTGAGTGACGCCATTGCTGTCAGCACTACGCCGACGCGCGACCGTGACGACGCGACGTTGACGATGGCGACGAGGCCGCTCTCAGCTCTCTGCGCACTACGCTCTACGCTCTGCTCTCCACACACGCAACTTGTTTTTTTTGTTTTTCTGGTTTTTTGGTGCCAAGAGATCGGGCAACGTTTCAATCCCCAAATACACACACACACATACAGTGAGAGAGGCACACGGAGGCGGAGTTTTGTTTACATTAAACGAATTCTATTTGTCGAATGCGTCAGGCGCGATTGGCGCTGCGGGCAGCAACAGCAACAACAACAGCAACAACAACAACGACAGCGCACAATTTTGTTAGCTATATAATCAATTCTTATTATTATTTTCTTCCTTTTTTCGTTTGGGCCATTTTATTTGACTTTTGCGTGGCCTGAAAGATATTTTAATTTCATTTGGCATATATATCAGAAGCAGACAATTTGCCAAAGCACTCGCCATTTCAGAGGAACTTTTCGCGGAACTCACAGACAATAACCGCAAAGCAACAACAACAACAACAACAATAATTCTGGGGGGGCAATTGTGGAGCGTTTTTCAGCACAGCATTTAAAGTCATCTATATATGTATGTATTTATGTGCATATGTATGTGTAGGCCATTTTTCTGCTGGTCTCTGCGGACAGGCCATAAATTATTTTTACGTTTGATTATTATTATTTCTTATTTCGGTTTTTGCGTGCTGTTTTCGTTGCTGCACAACCAGAAAGCAAGAGAAACGAATTTATTGTGAGTGAGGAATAAATTAAACAGGCATCCGAAACAATACAATTCCAATTGGCCCATGGCTGTTGCTCTGTGGCTCTGGCTCTGGCGATTAATTAATTAATTGCCCAGGTGCGAGAGAAGATTTAAAAGAAATCGTTTTTCTTACTAAATGACATTGACCAAAATACAAAGAGCAAACGGAATTTATCAGAGCAACAACAACAACAACAACAACAAGAACAACAGAACAGCAGCTATAAATCAATTTAAAGAGTTAAAAATATATATAAATTTGTATACACAATTGCTTGGCCTTTCTTTGATTTTGCTTTATTTTCATCTGTTTTCCTGTCGCATTTCCTTGATTTTTCTGCTGGCAAAATGTTTAGAGAATTTTCCCCACTGCCTGGCCGATCGAATTTTTCTTTGACATGACATCGCGCCTTGTATTTATAGCCATCGATTCCAGGGCAAAGCCAAACAGTGCGTCATCTTAACTGGGTCAACAGTTCCGCCAACACAGCTCACATTGGATCTTGTGTGGTCCGCTGGCCATAGCAATTACTCTCTATTTAACTCTCGCTCTCCCTATCTCTCTCTCTCTCTCTCTTTCTCGATCCACCCACAGGCTTCAACAGGGAATTCCCAAACAAAAGTCGTCATCAACATCTCGTTTTTTCCTGTTTCAAGTTCAAATAATCATAATAAAGATAACACAATTCATCTCACTTGATATTTTCGCTTCTTGTACGGCGTTTGTTTTGCTTTTAATTTAATGTTAATGTTATTAAATGGCCAAATTGTTTACTATTATGGACGTTTGTAAACAAAATTATGTATACGACGCGTCCGCCGTCTGCAGCAAGTTGAGTTGTAGTACACAAAGCGGCGATCCCATTGATTCAGCGATGCTCTAGCTCTCTCTCATTCATACTCCTTTGGCTGCCGCCCGCCCTCTGCCTCGCGCTTCTCTCTCGTCTGGGCAATGCAAAAGAATACCAAACAATACCAAATGCCGGCCATGGCCAGCATTGTTTAAACTTGCCTCGTGCTGTAGTTTAATAAACATTTAACAATTAAACACACTCTAAACACACGATTCCTTTGCCTACACGCCACGACCACGACCACGCCTCCGGGGAGGCGTTCTATATACAAGTTGGAGCTGCGGCGCATTTGTTTTTGCATACTGACCTACAACAACAGGCAAAAGCAAACAATTGCAGCTTCCTCCGGCCACGCCCTGCCACCTGCCATGCCGCAGCAGCGTTTATTAAGACAGTTGATCCGCCGGACAACAAATAATCAAATAGTCAAAAATTCAAAATATTTACACACACGCTGCTGCGAGCAAAATTATGCAGTCTCTAGTTAAGATTTGTGCCACTCTCTCTCCCTATCTCCCTCTCACTCTCACTCTCTCACTTTCTGTCTCACTCTTTAGCTGTGCTCGTTTCTTTGTTTAAATATTTACACTTTTGTTTTGTTGCAATTTCTAGCCCAGATCTAACCAAATAGTTAGGTTTTATGTCTTCATAAGTGGATTCCCGGATTTGTTTATGCCCCCAGCTTTTATGCAGAATTCGAGTCACGTGTGGCGGCAATATACATACGTATATACGTACTTCAATATATTTTTTAAATATCTAAACCCATTTGTTATTGTTTTTTCCCACGACTTTGCTTTTTGTAAATATTTATGCGATATTTTAGCGTTCGGTTGGTTAAGTTAAGTAGGGAATCGCTTATGGAATTCTGTTTGGATAAAACTCGGTGACATACCAACGCAATAAATGTATTTATAAACAGTAAAGTGAGAATGAAGAACAAATTCAATAACTTGGAGAAAAGAAACAAATGTTTATAGAGCAAAACCATTTTGATATCAATTGTTTTGTGTGCTTAGTCACTGATGTACAATATATAATCTGATGAGAGTAGAGAAATCATTCTCTGTTTTTATTTCAATTAATATAATATATAATGTATAATATTTTAAAATATTATATTTTGGTATAAAGCAATATTTTAATTAAAGAATTCCTTTTAGATATATCCACTGTTAGATTAGAATTAAATTACTCAGCTGCATAAAATCTGTTGTATATTTTTATACATTTTTATTAAAAAATTTTTAAAAATAATTTTTAGCTATTTTAAAATAAACAAAATTATATGTGAGCTTATCATAAATGCATTCATCCATCTATTTCCACCTGAGCAAGATTTCAAGACCTTAACCAATATAAAAAGCTAACACAGTGAATTTTGATGCTTTGGTAAATATTTTCTTATTTATATAATTATAATATATTATATATAAGGTCTTCATGCTAAACAACCTATCATAACTAGATCCATCGCTTACATCTATCCATCATACATTTTCTCGCCAGTGTGTGAGCTATTCAAGCCAAATACATTTGTTGGCTCAGTTCAAGATTGTTTCTTATCGAGTTTTTATGTGCTGGCTTGGCTGGCCAGAATGTTGCCACACTTGGCACTCAAATAGCGACAGTGCGGCCATAAACACCTTGCCTGCTCAACCGGATTACAATTTCAGATTTCCAATTTCAAAATGGCCGCCGCTGCCAACGTCGCCGCCGCAGCCGACATTTGCGCAAGATGGCCAACACGACGTGTGTTTGGCTGCCAGCTGCCAGTTATTGTGCGATCTGGATGCCATTGCCAAACTACCATGCAAACTGTGGCAATATCATAAAAACCTACACGCGCAGAGCGAGAGATAGAGAGGGAGCGCGAGATAGGGGGAGAGAGAGCACACGCAACGGGCA